AAGACAAATAATCAATCTCCCTCAAAACAAATATTACGTTTAATGCATCTTAAAACCTTAGTGAACAGAATCATGCCTTAAACATTATGATTCATTATCCTTTGATCACTGACAATAAAAAGTCACAAAATCACAATGCAAGGAGCTGTATTGATCCTCACCCTTCATCAGCAGCCAGAATCGAACAGCTTCTGTTTGAATAACTGCCTTTAATCTCCTAAATCTCTACACATGATTGCATCCTTTAAATACCTTGCCTGACCTGGCCTATATAGGAAAGTGTAATGCTTAAAACTGTAAACCTAGTTTTCAGCCCGCCAGTCAATCATAAACACTCTCAGTCTGAGAATCATGTTCATCATGAATATCTCGAAAAATCACATTCATCTCAACAAATGTCCTATTACCAATCAGCAAATGAGTAGACATTAAGGACATAAAAAGATGTAAAGTAGTAAGGATTATATTAAATCAGATGGGTGAGCTCACCGGTGATATTGTTGCTGTTGCGGGCCTCTTGTCTTTGAGTGTGAATGCATTGCTCTCGAGCCCTCATATGCTCAGCCACCACAGCACATTCTGGATGAATCGTTTCCACCTGATGATGTTTAAAAAAAATGTATGAAGCAAATGAAATTACAAACTGCAGCACATACAGTATTAAGAACCTGCATAAACATGCTGAGCCCATTAGAAAAAGCTAATTAAAGAGCAATTTCACAATTTCAGTCACTTGCCATTAAGTCAAAATGACAATCAGGAACAATTATGACATTTCAAATATTATTTGCTAACAGCTTGAACATTCATTTAACTAGATTTGTGTTCCACAGAAGAAAGATCACATGGGTTTTGAAAAGGTAAAAGGGTGCTGAATAGTTATTTTGGGGGTTAACAAATTCAAATACATTGTATATCTACTTACAGGATCTAAATATTTATCATATTGAGACTTAGAATCATCTCGTCAAGAAACCCTAGCCACACAGCAAAATTGGTCTGTAAAGTCTCATTATCTCCGAAGCAGCCATTGAACCAATTTGAACCTCTCTTGCCATCATTTGCTATAATTAAATGTATTAGAGATAGAAAGAGCATTAAAGAGAGAATAAACATAACAAAATGTGTGTGATGCTGTCTCATCGACAACATAAAAAGGAAAAGTTGCTTCTGTTTCACCTCTTTGCTGCATAAAAAGACATGAAATGGCCGCCCACTTATTCCTGAGAGGAATGAGAGAGAGTCAGAGGTGGGTGAATGCTAATGATCCGATTAAGCCTGAGGTTAAAAACAGATTCAGAAGTTTCTGAAACAGACCTACGTACCTCCAAAGGAAAACAGAAATGGTGAATCATAACAATACTAGAAAAAAGTGAATTGTTGTATTTATTCTAGAGGGATGCATCAGGGGTCTGTGTGTCATATCGTGTAAATCGAATAAATAGTATGACGTCAGCATGGAAATCAAGGATAAACATTCCAGCTATGTTGATTATTATTCATCCGTTGGTGAAGGACGCGTTTATGTCCCCTTCACTGAGCTAATAGGCAGAAATCCGAATCTTCAGGGCAGACAACTGATTTCAAATACCTAGCCTAAAACACCCATCTAATAAAGCAGAAAACACTAATAATTTAAATAATAACTGGGTGCTGTTAACCCGCCGTATTTTAAAGAATGTTACTGATTGACACTTTGAATGGACAAATATCCATGGCTGTGCATGTATCTGTGCACCACCAAAACACCAGCTGTGGTGATATTTCCACCGATTATATTATATAGATTTTTCTATATAACCTCTAACCAATGTACACAATGTAAAAAATTAAAATTTAGATTAATGTACATTGTCATAGTAAATTTATCCAACATTGAATGAAATGTAAAAATCTAAGTAATCCATTCGACTCTTGCAAAATATAAGTCATTAGAACGCACACTGAACATACATTCAAACTTGTCAAAGTGGCCCAGTTGGTCACAAGATATATGAGAGTCAATGGAGTTTGATGTTATTAACATCAAACCTGGTGGCAGGTTGAGTCTGTGAATGAGATTTGAACATTATTTCAGAAAGGAACCTTTCATATGGCTTTGTAATTTTTGGAATGCAGTATGGACACATTAGCATGGACTTTTTATAAATCTTTTGTTATTTTGGATCCTTTTGTGTTCAGTGAACGACAGAAGACTGGGTTTCAACCAACAAGAGGGTAAGTAAATGATAAACCCTAAAAGTTTATTGTTGGCTAATCATAAACCCCCCCCCAAAAAAGGTAAATAAATATATTACGCCGAAATGAGCTGAATACGGCACCATTTTTGGTGATACAAGATAAAAATAGCTACAGAATGAAATTTGTTTAGATGTATTGCTCAGATACAACCAGAAAATTATCATTTGAATGCTTACAATTTAAAATTATATTTTTCATTTGCATTCTATAAAAATATAATTTGGATAAAAATAGTACTTGGTAAAACTGGACTTTTGGTAGTTAGGGAATAAGATGCAGGTTTTTTAATTGAAACACCACACAGTAAAGTGACAACTGTTTAGTCAATTCTCTCATAAGAGTTAATTTCATTTTAAAACAGATGCACATTGTGTCTTCAAGTTTGCATTTGTGTTTGAGTATATAAAGAGTATGAATATTCAAAAGATTGATGGAGATTTGTGTGGGAAAATTAGGCAAGACAAACTGCTGCGGTTATTTAAAAATGTTACACCGCTGAATGCATAATGACATCTTTTCTTATATTTACGTTGCATGTAATCAGCATATTAAACCCAACCAGAGATTACAAATCTCCCTGGCATTTTCTCAAGCCAAGGCCAAGGCTCAACTTGGACATATAGAAACTGTGAGGGGAATAGTGATGAGAAAAGACCTCGATGCATCACTCCAACAAATTTCATTTGAGCCACAGAACTTAGAGTTGCATTCAGAGTCACCAGGGTGGGTGAGAGAGAAGAGAAGTGCAGAGAAAAAAAAGCAGTTGTATCCTACTAGCACTGGTGGCACACCTGGACAATAAAGCACTTGGTTTCAATTAAACAATCCACAGGATTTGACTATCTCAGCAAAACCAATTATGGCACATCTGCTGATAAAGGGTGTTCAAGGCCACTTTCATATGTCTGCCCACAAATTTGCACTATAAAATGTATCATTGGCCCAAAAATAATACAGCTGTGTCCTAAAAATCCCTTTATGGCTACATATCTAAATATGTCAAACAGATAAGTAAATAGACACCTGTTGTCTTGAATCACTCTAACCTGAAATGCTCTGGTGACCTGATCAGAAAGGTTAGGTCAAATGAAGAAGAAAAATAACTGACTGATAAGAATCCTGTTATTAGTCAGATAGCATCCAGTGGCCCTAAGGAAGAGGCTCATGAACACATGGAATCATTATTATAGGAAATGAACCTCCATTCAGTAAAGGAAAGCCATATCATTAGAGAGAGTACCAAACAACAACTACATTTAATTACAACATTGATTTGTGCTCTTCTTGTGGAGCCTGTGCTCCTCAGAAATTGGAATGATGATCCACCTTTGCATTCGCTTAACACAAAGGTTTGGTAAACCTGGATAGAGTTTGTTTTGGAGGCCAATTAGTCACATGAATTGCACGCTTAATTTTCATGACAGGAACCTAATTTTGCTGCTCAGGTTAAATCATGACAGTGTTCCTGTACTGGAAATGGTCATCAAAACATCATTAAAAGGAGGCCAGGATCTCAGGTCAGTACCGCTAATCAAATCAACATCTGACACATCAGCACATTAAATATAGCACTGGACTGATCCCTAGAGGACACAGTGGCAATCAAACGGCATTGATTATACTTCATCTACATCATTAGCTTAGTATGATGCCTTTAAAAAATTTTTTTTTTTTTTTTTTTGCTGATATCTATGTTTATTCTCTCTCATGAGCATCTCACCTAAATCTGGAGGCAGTGCTATTATGAAAACTTTTAACTGCGATTTGTCTCTTAAACAGCATACACTATACATTTTCTAAGTCAGTGGTGCAGTGCAATGCCTTTTAAAATAAATATGTAAATCTCTCTCAAGAAAACCTCACCTGAATCTGGATGAAAATTTTAATACACTTTGATGTCAGGGCCATTATAAAACACTTTTAACTTGTATGATGTGTCATTCAAACAGCAAATATCTCTCAAAGAAATCTCACCTGATTCTGGAAGCATGCTAATATTTGCAATGAAATGCTTTAGGAAGTCAACATATTCCTTTGGTTTGTAATGCTATACTCAATTATAAACAGTATTTGTTAATTATTTCATAGTTATGTATGTAGTGTAACTATGATACCATATAGATATTTGTACTTTTAAAAATTAATTTGTCATACAAAAGATTATTAAAAATAGTGATAATGTTGACTGCTTAGATTGTAACATTAAATACATGAATATATATTTTAACCTACAATGCGTTTCATTTAAATAAGTAAATAAGTAAATAAATAATCAATCAATCCATGGACATGTTCTACAACTAGCCTAACAAATTTTTATTTCAGGGACATAATAAAATGTTTAACCTTTATCATTCCACTTCTTACATCATGAAGTATTTTTATATATTTTTTCCCATCCTACAGCCCACAACAGTAGCCACTGGCTACACTGCAAATGATCAGAAAATCCTAAAACTCGTGACAGAAATCATGAAAATAATAAATGTTAAGAGCATAGGATCTCACATAGATAACTTACTGCTTTCCAGGTGCTCTGCTGAATCCCCAAACTCAGTAAGACGGCGACCAGTCTTACAGCTGACCAGGTTTTGAAGAGACACATAATTAAGACTCCGGTATAATAGGAAAGAATGAAGCTTGTTTGTGTATAACCAAATAACGCAGGAGCCTCTGTTAGATCTTTGGATGTTTTCCAGAAGTCTCGATGTCTCCAACCATACTGCTCGCTGCCGTTCGGCACAAATGCTCAGTCCTACATAATGTCTTCTGAAGCTCGTAATATTTGTAATTAAATCATGTGTCTCTTCCTCATAACAGACCGTAAACAACCTGTCGCTGTGAGTTCCCAGCAAACACTGGGCAGGAGAGGGGCGCGCGGAGAAATGAAGGCACGGTGCGCCTCCCCTTTACGCACAAAATGCCAGTGACTTCACTCATTAGATAAACTCTGATTTCAATTCATGTGATTATTAAAACTGTTTGAGAGAAATCAAACAAAATAGCCAAACTGGTCGCGAGAGAACGGGACGCCAAGCGTAGAGGCTTACGGTTAAATTCATGAACTCCTGAAATACAAAAAATAGTAAAATATCATTTTTTATATTATTAAATATATTTAATTTTACTAATGAATTTCCAGCTCCTATCATTTAGGCTAATGCTGCTAAACATGTTGTACAGACATAAACGTTAACAATTTGTTTTGATAACTTTATAATAAAAAGGTGGAGACATATCTGTTATATAGGCCTATGTATAATACTTTTTTTCAACAATCACTAGGACCCATTTCTCAACAGTTAGGTCTTAAGTCACTGTATCAAAACTCTTACACGCTTACCATCTTTCTGGGCACAGCAGTAAATTTCACTTCCAGAAGCTATTAAAACTTCTAAAACACTTCAAACATGTCTAAGATTACAATTATCTAAATTCATGAACAGCATGAAGAGTGACCAAATGAGAGCACAAATTCATAACAAAAGCTCAGGTTGGATCTTTTTTGTATTGTGAGGAGGAACAAGAAAGATGAAAGATGAACCCTTCACCTTATCTCAGTAATTGGTCAGTTAATTATATAATATCATATTGTGATACATTATGCATGCCTCTCACAGTTTTATTACTAATGATGGTCCCTATTTTCCCTCCATACCCAAATTATATGTCTTTTCAGTTATCAGGTCTTTTTATTGCCCTCATTTAGGTTTTTTAAATTTCGTTGTCTGAACTGTGATTTTCTTATTTGAATGGTCATTCTTCATATTTAATGAACAACAGGGACTATTACAATTAAACTTATGGTCACAATTGAGCATCTGTGTTGCTTAGGCTGTCCCTTAGTGAAAATACAATTTGCATATGTATTTGATGTTTTTATCCGGCTAGGGAAAACATTTTCTTAGCTGGACAGCAGACCCCCATTGCTTCCAGCTGCCTTGTCATGCTGAGAGAAGGAATGAGAGAATTAGTTTTATGGACAGATCGTCATAAACATTCATTTCCACGACAGCTGTCTTCAAAAGAAACCTGATTTAAACATACTGACCAATAAGACTGTGTGGAAAACAATCACTGTGCTGTGTGATAAACATTCTGTGACTGATGGCCAGATTCAATTTCCATACTATTCCATAGAAAAACAGAGCATTTTTCTACTTCTCAATCTCTTTCCCACTTTCACTCTTACCCATTTGTTCTCTATATAGCAAACAACAAAAACATCTCACTCAGAAGAAGAGAAAAAAAATTCTGAGTCATCAGACGATTCCATAAAAACACAAAGGTATTGACGTTTCAAAAAATGTAGAGGAATGAAAAAATATGTTTTTTGGGGACGCTGAATTAGTTTTAATACATTACAGTATATCCTAAATTCCAATTCAGCAAATGAAAGAACATAATAGGAATTGTACATCATATTTTGAAAATAGATGCATAATATATATATATATATATATATTACCTGGTGATTTGAATAATTATCAGATAGTAAAGTTAATATTTGTGCAGTATTGGTTACCCAACCCACAATAACTGACTGTTAATGGTGTCAATATATCAGTGCATTAATAATATACTTACCAATACCAATTTGCTTGATTTAACTAGAAAAAAAAAAGTTAAATTACATAAAAATTGAGATTTTTGTGTAAAAACAATAGGTGTGTTTTAATTGTAATATTTAATAGCATGTGCAAAAGGATTGGGGTTGTATTTATTTATTTATTTATTTATTTTTGTTTAACAAAAAAGTGGAAATATTAAGATCTAATTACTGTAATTATGTACAATGGTTTGCGGCACTCTTGTATAAATTAAATGTGAGACACAGAAGAGATCCAGTGGACCAAGACACAGTGAAGATATTGTTTCCCGCACAAGATGCAAACATCTCAAAGATGATAATTAAATTAATTAACATTGCAGATAGGCAGCTACCTCAACAACTGTGTCATTATTTTAAGTAGATGTCTTGCAGTGGGACTCTGCCAAGGCTTCGGAAAACAACTCTAAAATGATGCCTTTACTGAATGAGAAGAAAGCAGAAAGCAGATTTTATTAGTATTCTTCGTATTTTGAGTTTAAGCTGTTTGAAAACCTATAAATCAATTAAACTGTGGTAAAAAAAAATAAAAATCATCCAAAATGTGCAGTGCTGTGGAGGCTTCATTAACACTTTGAGATCCCCTAAAATGAGAATAATGTACATTTCAACTCTAGCATACTATCCCAAAGAAACGTCTATTCTATTGAAGTCCTTGACCTGTTCTCATCTTTATCAATTTAAAATCATTTTCAGAGTCTGGAAAATATGTGGAATGTGCCACCTATAAAAACCAAGACCTTTTCGAATCTCTCACTTTGTTAACAGTTCAAACATGCACTTAAATGATATTACCATAAAATCAGCACTTTTCCGTTAGATATCGATCCGATTATATCCACGATACAAACCGATGCACGTGCTCCTTTTATCAGTCTCTTGACTTTCATCTTCCTTCATCTGTGGAGTTATTCTTTATGCACATTAATGGAGGATGTGTTTGATGTCCATTAGGTATCTCAGCTTATGATCAGCAAAGTGAGTGACCTCTGCTGTGCTCAGGGAGATTGTGATGTACAATATAAGACTTTATGTAGGCTTTTACTGGAAACAAAATTTGGTCGAAATGTATTTAAAATATTTGCGAAATATATGTTCTAAATGCTGAAAATATATTTTGTTTAAACCTTCAAATCTGTCAAAATGTATTACGGTAAGATACACTTCAAATGGCAGGACAATAGATTAGATAGGTTATAATATTGTCTGTTTTGCACAGTTTTGCCAAAGAAAATATTACCTATAAAACCACAGCAGTTGTCAAGTCAAGTCAAGTCAAGTTTATTTGTACAGCGTTTTTCACGATACAAATCATTGCAAAGCAACTTTACAGCAAATTAAGTTTCTACAATATTTAGTGGTAGCTTATCAGTGGTGACTGTCAATTAATGTACATATGGCAGAAATGTACGGAAAAATCAATTTAAGACGTAATAAAAAAGACGATGAACACTATTAACAGCAATTATTATATCATGCAATCAAACTTATAGCAAAATGTGGTAGTTCTGTAAGTTGTTTCAGGGTTGGCATCATCTGAGGTCCTCTGAGGGGTTGGCATCATCTCTTCTCAGGTGTTCTAGATCCAGACTGAAGCTTGTGTAAATCCCCGTGGCAAAAACAGAGAAACAAATAGAGACATAATTAGCGTAGCTGCTGTTCCAACCAAGCAAAATTGATTTGTTTAACCCAAACTAAAGAATAATAATGTGCATTTGATCAGATATAACTGCAGTACAAGATTATGAGATGCATTATTTGAATGCTTGGCCAAAGAGATGTGTCTTTAATCTAGATTTAAACAGAGAGAGTGTGTCTGAACCCCGAACATTATCAGGAAGGCTATTCCAGAGTTTGGGAGCCAAATGCAAAAAAGCTCTACCTCCTTTAGTGGACTTTGCTATCCTAGGTACTACCAAAAGTCCAGAGTTTTGCGACCTTAGGGAGCGTGATGGATTGTAGCGAGGTAGAAGACTAGTTAGGTACGCAGGAGCTAACCCATTAAGGGCCTTATAGGCAAGTAATAATATTTGGTAACTGATACGGAACTTAATAGGTAGCCAGTGCAGAGACTGTAAAATTGGGGTAATATGATCATATTTTCTTGACCTGGTAAGGACTCTAGCCGCTGCATTTTGGACCACCTGTAGCTTGTTTATTGAAGATGCAGGACAACCACCTAGCAGTGCATTACAATAGTCCAGTCTAGAGGTCATGAATGCATGAACTAGCTTTTCTGCATCAGAAACAGGTAACATATTTCGTAACTTGGCAATGTTTCTAAGATGGAAGAATGCTGTTTTTGTAACATGGGAAATATGATTTTCAAAAGACAAGTTGCTATCTAATATAACACCCAGATTTTTGACTGTAGAGGAAGTAACAGTACACCCGTCTAGTTGCAAATTGTAATCCAAGAGATTCTGTGTACTGTCTTTTGGTCCAATAAGTAATATCTCTGTCTTATCCGAATTTAATAGGAGAAAATGATTGGTCATCCAATCTTTTACATTTTTAACACACTCTGTTAGCTTAGATAATTTAGAAGTTTCATCTGGTCTTGTTGAGATATATAGTTGAGTATCATCAGCATAACAGTGGAAACTAATCCCGTATTTTCTAATAATATTACCAAGGGGCAACATGTATATCGAAAATAGCAGAGGACCTAGGACAGATCCTTGTGGGGTTTTAGCCAGGTTTCAGTCTAGCAGAGTACATCAAAACGATTATCTGTGATTATTTCATTTACAATAACTGCTTTGGGTGAGAGTGATCTAATGTTTAGGAGCCCAAACTTTAAAAATTGTTTTTGTTCATTTATTTAGCAATTTTCCGGTTTAATTTCTATCAGATTTTTTATAGATCCTGCATTGAATTTATATTTTGACCTCACTATTCTGGGAACAGACACAGTCTTTATAGATTGGCCAGCACAAGTACTTCTATCATTTAAGCTGGTAGAACACAAGTCATCAGGGCAGTTATTTGAGATTTGACTTACTAGTCATATGGTGCGTAGCGTCCTGGAGATGTTGTCCGACATGAGTTCCGCTCCGACTCTGCTGGGGTGCAGGCCATCAGCGCGAAAAAGCCTAGGACGCTCCCAGAAAAGATTCCAATTATTAACAAAGAGCAGTTTCAGTTTTG